GGAGATCGGGTCTCCTCGGTCGGGGTCAGAGGCCCCCACGGGCGCGCGGCAGCTCCCGGAGCCCGGGGGACAGAGCCCGCGCTGCAGCCCGGCGGTCCCGGGACCCCACGACCCCCGCCGGGCTCCAGACCGGCCCGCCCGGCCCGGGTGCTGGCCCCGCCCGCCAGGGCCCGGCCTCACCCACGCCGATCATGCAGGCCCAGAAGGCCACGAAGACCCCGGCATACAGGAGCGCTAGCCCCGTCATGGCGGCGGTGACGGCGGGGCACGGGTCGGTGGAGACAGAGCTGAAGCCGCGTCCCTGCGTCCACCGTCCGCCCCGCAGCCCAGTCCGCCGCCCGCACCGTCACCTGACTCGCCCACGTGACGCGCCGGCACCACCTGACCCGGGCCGGGCTCCGCGCTGGTGCTCGCCACGCCGGAACCGCGACGCTGAGCATTGTGGTTGGTGTAGTTTCGCGCTGCAGCGGCGGCTCAGGCGCCCTCCGCCCTGCTCGGTCCAGCCCTGCCTTGCACCCGAGCCTGCCCGCGGCCTCCCTAGCGTGGCCTCCGACCCCGTGCGGACCCCTGTCCCGCTAGGGTGCTGTGCTCCACTCCTCAAGCTCTTCCCTCTGCCTGACGCCCGCTGCCTAGGGCTCACCCTGAGCCCGGCTAGCAGCTACCGAGCTCAGAAATCGTTCTTCCCGGAGCCTTCCCCAACCCTGAGGCAAGGTGGTCGCCTGCTCTGGGATCCCAAGAAACTTCAGCAAGATCATGTCACTCTTTAAAATGCCCTGGTGGCTCAATTCCACTCTAAAAGCCATAGTCCTTTCAATGGCTTACGAGGCCTCCACCAATGTGGTTCCGAACTTCATCTCTATTACGCCCCCACCAACTCCTCTGGCTGCACGGGCATCCTTGCTACCCCTTGAACATACCAGCCATACCCTCACCGCATTGGCCTTGCACTTGTTCTCTCTGCTTCTCCTAATTTTTATCCATGTAACTCACTCCGTAACTTCCTTTCAGTCTTCTTTCACCTTCTTCATAAGGCCTGCTCTGACCATCCTGTTTAATATTGCAACCCCCTCTCCCTTACACTCCCTTCCCAGCTCTATATTTCTCCATAACACTTACCACCATTTGGCATACTGAGTATCTAGGGGTTATCCATCTCTCCCCACCCATGAGAATGTAAGCATCGTGAAAGGATTTCTGTTGTATTTCCAGTGCCTGGCACACAGTGGGTGCTCAATACATGTTTGTAATTGGTAGTTACAAAATAGTCAAGGGGGTATAAAGTATAGCATAGGGAATATAGTCAATAATATTGTAGTAACTATGTATGGTGCCACGTGGGTACTTGAATTATTGGGGGGAACACTTCGTAAAGTATATGATTGTCTTAACCACTATGCTGTACACATGAAATTTAATACAAAATATGTAAAGTGTAATTGAAAAAAATTGTTTTATTGATTACATGCTGAAATGTTTTGGGTATTGGAGTTTAAAAATTATTAAATTTACAAAAGAAAAGACTAAATAGTCGCCGTAGCTGGTTTGTCTCAGTGAATAGAGCATCAATCAGCCTGGGGACTAAGGGGTTCTGGGTTCAATTCTGCTCAAGGGCACATGCCCAGATTGCAGGCTTAGTCCCCAATAGGGGGCGTACAAGAGGCAGCTGATCAATGATTCTCTCTCATCATTGATGTTTCTCTCTCTCTATCCCTCTCCCTTCCTCTCTGAAATCAAGAAAAAATAAATAAATAAATGCAATAACAAAATATTTAAAATTTTTAATTCATTTTATAAGTGTTGAAGTTAGATATTTATACATTTACCATTTTCTAAATCATACTTTGTTCCTATTTTGTACGTTATTTTTTGCACTCAAATGTTTATTTTATACATACATTTTACTTATTTATAAATATATTTGTATTGATTTGGGAGAGGGAGAGAAATATCAATGATGAGAGAGAATCATTGATCCGTTGCCTCTTGCACACCCCCTACTGGGGACTGAGCCCACAACCCCGGGCATGTGCCCTTGGCTGGAATCAAACCTGGGACCCTTCTGTCCTCACGCTGATGCTCTATCCACTGAGCCAAATCAGCTAGGGTAATACATACATTTTAAAGATGCTTACACTACATTTGCAATATATTCTATCTTCTCAATTGGTTGATCCCTTTTGATTTTGACGTATTGGTTTGCTCTACAGCAGTGGTTCTCAACCTTCCTAATGCCACGACCCTTTAATACAGTTCCTCATGTTGTGGTGACCCCCAATTTCATTGTTACACATTGAACATAATTAAAGCATAGTGATTAATCACAAAAATAATATGTAATTATATATGTGTTTTCCAATGGTCTTAGGCGACCCCAGTGAAAGGGTTGTTCGACCGCCAAAGGGGTCGCGACCCACAGGTTGAGAACTGCTGCTCTACAGTGATATGGATTTTAACATACTGAAAGTTACATGTTCAACACCCTGGACATTGCCAATATGCCAAGATTCTCAGAAAATGTGTGAAATGAAGAAGTGAATTATTTCACTTCACCCCTCTCAACCTTTAGGGTCCAGCAACTCCACTCTGCCTAAAGCACCCACTATGCTGGTTTAAGAATGGTGTGTCCTTTATCCAAGTGTCCTTTTCACGCCTTCTCTCCTGATAACACTTTTTCCCCTCCAGGTGATTCAGCGTATCACCCCTTCTGAGAAGCCTCTTTTGGGCTCCAGCTGCCCCCGGGGGCTTCCCTTCTCACAGAGTACTGTTTCAGTGTGTGGTGATTGTCTATTTAACCCCTCTTCAATTTTACACAGTGAGGACAAAATTCAAAGACAATTCAGATCTCCACCCACAGGACCTGCAGTGTTTGACGAGTAAAAAGAAACAGAAGAAAAAGTATCTGATTTATTCAAGTTTCTGTAATCTCCCTGAGAAACAAATCAGCGCCAGTATAGACCAGCACTGTCCACCAGAACTCTCCGTGAAGATGGGAATGTCCTATAGCTGCGCTGTCCTCTTACATGGCTACCTGAGCGGTGAAATGTGGTTAGTGTGACCAGGAAACTGAGTTTTTAATCTTAAATTGTTTAAAATTTAACTAGCTGGTATACTGGACAGCACAAGTACAGACCAGTGGTTCTCAACTGGGAGCAAATTGCTTCCAGAGGCGACACTTGCCAGTGTCTGGAGATATTTTTGATTATCACAACCAGGAAGTGTATGCTCCTGGCATCTAGTGAGCAGAAATCAGGGATGATGCTGAACATGCTACAAAGCACAGAACAGCCCCTCACAATAAAAATTATCTGGCCTTGCCCTAACCCAGTGATGGCGAACCTATGACACGTGAACTCATTTTTTTGGTTGACTTTTCTTTGTTAAATGGCATTTAAATATATAAAATAAATATCAAAAATATAAATCTTTGTTTTACTATGGTTGTAAATATCAAAAAATTTCTATATGTGACACAGCACCAGAGTTAAGTTAGGGTTTTTCAAAATGCTGACACGCCGAGCTCAAAAGGTTCGCCATCACTGCCCTAACCGGTTTGGCTCAGTGGATGGAGCGTCGGCCTGTGGACTGAGGGGTCCCAGGTTCGATTCTGGTCAAGGGCATGTACCTTGGTTGTGGGCACATCCCCAGTGGGAGTGTGCAGGAGGCAGCTGATTGATGTTTCTCTCTCGTTGATGTTTCTAACTTTCTATCCCTCTCCCTTCCTCTCTATAAAAAATCAATAAAAATATATTTAAAAAAATTATCTGGCCCAAAACATCAGTTGTGCGGAGGCTGAGAAACCTGGTCTAGACCATCTATAACCTGCCTTTGAAAAGGACAGACCCTTAACTGCACACCAGGAACTGGGATTGGCCAGAGGTCCTGGGCTGCTCCTAGAACAGATGGGCCTAGAAGGCTTCAGGAATGCCCCAAATCAGTCCCCACCAGTCAAACATCAAACATGTTGCTAAGCCAGTATGTGCTAAGCCGTGTGCCAGTGTCAGTACAAGACCAAGCTGGATCCTATCCTTAGTGAGGGGCTGCCTGCCCTCCCTCCATCCAGGCTCCTTCAAGGATCCTGGCAGAGGGGTGAGGTTGGTACAGGGAGCACTAAAAGGTCTTAGCAGTGATTTTTTTTTTTTTTTAACAGATCTTGCCTCAGGTTTATTTGTACAAATAGCACAGGAGGACACTAGTTCCAGGGGTCACACCAGTCCTTCTGTCCTCACATCAGCAGACAGAGGCCTCTCCTGTGGAGCCTTTATGGGGGTCTGGGCACCTTTGGGAGCCTAAGCCTGAGTTGCAGCTGCAGCCTGAGGCGTGGTTTAAGCCTTGCCGTGGCCTTAAGCAGTACCTGAGACCCTTAGTGATGGGACACAGCACATCTCCCAAGTTTGGGGTGAAGGATGTAGACAAGTTGACGAGCTTGCAGCTGCCCCTCTGGGATCCCAGCCTGACTTCCCTGGGCTGTACGCAGGCCTCAACAGCCTTGGCACGTGTGCTCATGGCGTCAGTGTTGTCAACGTGCCTCTTGTTGTGCTTTTTGGCAAAGCGTATGTTTCGCAGGAACTTTGGATCTATTTCCTTCTTGATGCCTTTTCTGGGCCATTTTCGGAACTGGTTGTGCATGGTGTGGTTCCTGGGCTTGGCCATATCTGCACTGAAGCCTGCAGCACCTGGGACCGGAAGAGTCCGCAGTGATCCTTAAGTCCATCTGTGTCTCTGGCCCCACAGGGTATCAGCTGCTTCCCTCATCCTCATAGGCGATGGCAATTCCTCGTCTTCCGCTTACGACTCCTGTCACTGGCGTCTGACCCAGCCGAGGCTGCAGCCCTTGCCAGCTCCGAGAACTAAGGAACGAGGCTGCAAAGAGAGGGGACTGAAGCTGAGTGGCCGGAATCCGGGAGAATTCCGAAGGGAGTGGAGACTTGGCACGCTTACCTGCGGGGCTACTCTCAACCAGCTCCAGCTGAGGCCGTGGGGTCAGGGCTGAGCATCCAGGATCATTTGATGGCTTCCAGGCAGGCGGGGGTCGAAGCTCCCCAGTAATGAGTGACACATCTGGGATGTCCCACAGTTCCGATTCAGGTGGCGGGAGGGGCACGTGGAAGGGCGAGCCTAGGAGGGAAAAAGATGATCCATACTGGCCCCCTGCTTCCAGGCCCCACCTGTTTGCAGCTCAGGCAGTGCCCCACCACTCACCAGGCAACAAGTCTGCGTAGTGTGTGAGGTGGGGAGCCAGGCCTGGAGATGGCCAGGCAGGATTGCAGGCAGCCTCCAGCTCACATGGTGACAATACAGGCCGGAAGAAGCCACCAGAAGGCTGGGGAGCTAAGGCACCAAGAGGACAGGCCAACAGCACAAAGATATCTACCTCAGGGAAGTTGGCAAGCTTGGGAGGTGTGGGCCGCCCCAGAGCTAACACATAGCTATGCTTGCCGGCAGCCCGAGTCAGGTTCCGCAAGTGTGCCAGCGCCTCCCGGTGTCGGGCCACGCCCAGCGTGCCCACCAGCAGCCCCACCACGTGAGCGTCTCTGGCCCTCTCTACCAGATATCGTCTACGTGCCCTTAGCCGCCCAGCCCGGGCACCTTCATCACGGGTCCCCCCTGTGTCTGGGCAGCAGGAGGAGAAGGACCGCTCTGGTGCCCAGCCCAAGAGCAGCCGGCTCAGGTCAGGATCGAGGTCAGGGTCAGAGCTGGCCCCAGAGCCTCCCACATAGAAAGCATCATACTCTTCCAGACACCTTCCTGGGGCCAGGGGGAAGCGACGCCCAAAACGCTGCAGGGGTTCAGGCTCTGAATTGAGGGAGCCCACTGGCAGGGGAAGAGCTGGGCTGGCGACAAGCAGGTCCGTGTACCGTGGCGAAGGAGAGTGGCCAAGGCCTCTGGAAGAAGGAAGTGGTGTCAGGGTTGGGGCCTGGCAAAACAAGAGCTCCCCTGCTCCCCAGAAGACTGAGTGTGACCCAACGGCAAAGGCTGGGGTCAAGCCCACAGTGAGAACTCTCTGGGATGTACTGAAACAGGAAAATGAGGAACAAATAGCGGACCCACTCTCCCTGAATGCTCAGGCAAAACCCCTCACCCAGGGCGTGGGGCGCAGGCCGGGCTCG